AAAAAAAAAAAAAAACTTAAAAAAAAAAAATCGTTGTTTTTTGTATTTCCCCCCCCCCCCCCCCGGGCCCCATTCCACATTTGGTCATTTATTTGTATTATCTCCCTGGGCTGTTTCAAGATTTCATTTGTGCATTCCTTTAAAAAGCCTTCCACATCCACGATGATCCCATAACATTGCTTATATAACTAATGTATTTTGTATTTTCATTGGAGGGAGAACTGAGTTCACGTCTGTGTTTCATCAAAGATTCCTAATGACTTCAGAGGAAGCCAGGCTCTTTTCCATGTTGCTGGAGAAGTGAAATAAAAATAGAGCGGGTAACATGATGGAGACTGTTTATGATGTAGTAGAGAGAGCTGGGGAATTAGAGGACCTTTGATATAGACCTGGCTCTTCTCCTGAACAACTGTGTGGCCTTGGAACTATTTCTTAAACATCTTTGCTCGTATTCTCCTCTATTAACTGATGATGAAGAATAATAAATGCACGAAGTTATTTTCAGATTAAGTGAGACAAACTTATGAAAGATACTTGATTATCTACAAAGGTCTATATAAATATTTGGTGATATTGTTTGAGGGCAACATAGGCTTGTCTGTTTTGTTGTAGCCCTGATTGAGGTGAGGCCAAAGTACTTTATTGACCCTTAGTACTAGGATGATATTTGGTGTCGCAGTGGAGAAGAGGTCTAAAATTGACCTGTAGATATTTGGCCTAGTTTAATAAGCCTAGTTTAATGTATGGTAGTGTCACACATTACGGATAAATATTTGAGAAACATGGATTAAACAACCACCTTACTGTTGTAGTCTGTTCTAAGATTTTTTTTTTTTTTTTTTTGTTTTTTTGTCTTTTGTCTTTGTCCGTGTCCGGCAACGGATCGCAACCCTCAGTGTTGCCCCCGTACCGGACTGGGGACCGGCAACGGGATTGCAACCCTCGGTGTTGCTCCTGCGCCTCGCTCAGCCAGTGAGCGGGAACCGGTCTGTATGTGGGATCTGAACCCGCGGGCGGGAGCGCCGCTGCGCTTCCCAAGCGGCGCACTATCCAGTGCACCACTGGGCCAGCCCTGTTCTAAGATTTTTTAAAAAATGTAAAAAATAATTGCAGATAAGGGTTTATTTGGGTCTCAGGATTGGATTTTTAGTATCTGTGGTAAAGGAAAGTTTATTCTGCACAATTGCTGTTTAGAGCTGGAGACACTGCTTATTGACCTTAATTAGCATTCTACACCCTTGAAAATAAAATCACTGAGGAGGAGATGTCAGCAGCTAGGAAACCCAGTCAGAGGGGAGTTGTACCAAAGTGCAGAAAAAAGGAAGGAGACATTTTTCTTTTATAGGAATAAGATGCCTTCCAAGGGGAGGAAGATGGGGCATGTTAAAACCACTTGTTAGAAGTTTTATGAGAAAGAACTAGTTACATTAATGTCATAGTGCTAAAAATAATGTCCTTTGAAGAGGTTTTGTGACCAGTGAAATAATGATTGAACCATACTCTTTTGGCTGGTTAATCTTCTCAAGGGGGAAGCCCTAAAATGGCTAGGTTACTTCCCAGAATACCTCAATCATCCTTTGGAATAACATACTCAGCAAGCTGAAGCCATTCGCTGTGATTTCGCTGGTCATGAGACTTAAATTAAGGAGAGCTAGTCTGTTACTTTGTGAAACTGCATAATGCTAATAAATTCCCAGATTACTTAACATACAGCACTCTGCCAGGGTTCATTGGCTTTTTTTTTTTTTTTTTCCTGGCATAACAAAGACATTTGGAAACCCAGGCTACAATCTAGGATTACTGGAAGAACTGTCCAGCATGGGACTTAAAAATATCTATTGTCAGCCTCTAAAGTTTGGGGTGAGCAACTTATAGTGTGTATTAAAAGGATCTTTTTCTTAATATTTCTAGAGCTAGACTGATTATAATTTTTCACTGATTTTTTTTTCCTTTTTGTCTTTTTTTTTTACTGACCGGTAACGGGATCGCAACCCTCGGTGTCGCGCCCATACCGGGGACCGGCAACGGGATCGCAACCCTCGGTGTTGCACCCGCACCGCGCTCAGCCAGTGAGCGGGAACCGTTCTCCACATGGGATCCAAACCCTCGGTGGGAGCTCCGCCGCACTCCCAAGCGGCGCACTTTCCAGTGTGCCACCGGGCGGCCCCTTTCACTGATTTTTATAGCCAATCATACTTCACTGGACTCTTAACTTTTATAACACCATTCTTTCAACATTTATAAATAATAATGTTGGCCTTTACATAGTACTTTCAAATCTTTCACACATGTCATTTTATTTTTTCTGACAACAACCCGAAGGGCCGAGCAGAAGGGGCATTATTATCCCCATTTTATAGATAGGGAAATAAAAGTTCAGAAAATCAGACAAATTAACATGTTTAATCTTGCATCCTGAAAAGTAAAAAACAAAATGAAATAAACTCTGTCTCTTTGTCCACTTCTGACTTACTGTTTTTAGAATCAAATTTCCTTAAAGAGTATTCAATATTCCTATCTCCAATTCCTCATCTCTCATTCACTCTGCAAACTATTTAACCTGGCTTTTCCTAATACTGGAATGGAGCTGATTAGGTTCACAAATAGGTGCCTAGTTGGCAAATATAAGGGACACTTTTCAGGGCATCATCTTATTTCACCTCTCTGAAGCACTCACCACTGTTGACTGCTTTTTCAATATTTCTTCTCTTTGGCTTCCATGACTTCTTTGTTATATTTTTTTCTCTTTCTCTTTTGCCCTCACTCTTACATTCTTTTGCTCTTTCTCCCACCCTCTCTTCCTTCCCTATTTCTCTGTTTTCTCACTCTGAATATTCTACTGGAGCAATCCCATCGTGTCTGTGGCTTCACCTACCATCTATACTGTGGCAATTTCCAAACCCAACTCTGTAACTATACCACTGCTGTGAACTCTAGACCCATGTATCCATCTGCCTACTGATCCTTTTTTTGGATCTTCCGTAGCCATCTGAGTTTCAGGTTTTTCAAAATTGACCTCATCCTTTCACCTCTTTCTCCTGCATCTTCTGTCTGCATTTTCAGTGAAGGTAACACCATCTTCTACATCAGATGGTCCTTGATTACTTTTTTTCTCTTCCCTTGCCCATCATTTTTAGTATACTAAGTCTCTTAGGTTCTGCTCTCTATCAATCATTTCAACTACGTATTGAGCAGCTCCATTTTCTAGCATCATGCCACTTTCCAGCAGTCAGGAATCACTAACACTTTCCCAGTGCACCACATTTCCTCGAAGTTTCATGACTTTGCATGTACTTTCTCCTGTGCTGCCCTCTATTCTCTTTCTCACTGTCACATGCTATCTTTCATGATTCATCTTAAGTGTTTCTTCTTCTGGGGAGCCCTCCCTGATATTTAGTTGCAGCCTAGATGAGCTATCCTTTTTTTGTATTTCTACATCATCCTGTGCATACTCTGCATCATGTCTTGGAGGAAGTTTAGGTTTGTGCTTTGGTAACTGTTGTGACACACAACTTTAAATCTCTGTCACTTAATACAATAGGAGTCTCTTTTTTTGATCACATAATAGTTCCAAGGGTCTGTTCAGCAGGTGACCTTCTGCATCCTTTCCATAACCTCTGAGATCTCAGAGCCCTCTGCATCCAGCTGGAAAATAAGGGGATAAAGTCCTTAACCAAAAGGAAGATTTTCCATGGTTATCCATATCCAAGCCTGGATATGGCATACCTAACTTTTGCTCACATTCTGCTGGCTGGAATGCAGTTATGTGGAGTCTGTGAGATTGGTCTATGTTTATACCTAGGGTGAAAGGAAAATGAATTTGGTGAAAAACTGTCCTGTCTGCCCCAATTGCCTGACTCTACACTAGAGTATAAGTTCCAGAAGGATACTGATTATATATTTGTTTACTTATGTGTGCCTATTATCTAGTATAATGTTTGATACACAGTAATCACTCAGGACATGTCTACTGAAGCAATGGACTTGTCTGAAGTTGTATAGTAAATCATGGCAGGTCTTTTATGACAAATCTAGTGACCCAGTTCCTAGTGCAGTCAGACCAAACTGTATAACCTCTGTATAGTAAGTTTAAAACAACTTGAACTTTTAGAGCACTTTGCTCCATATTTGGAAGAAAATATCTAGATGCCCAATATGCCAGATTATATATTTTTTCTCTTACAGCATTCATGAATACTGATGTTTTGAGTTAGTGACTGAAGAAAATAAGCTCCCTTCTCTCTGGCAAGCATTTTGCCCTTAGCATATGAGAGTGGGTGATACAGGATTATGTTTAAGAATATTGTAGAAGTCAGCAACACTAGATAACAGTATATATTATAATTTGTTGCTGCTTGGCTTCAAAATTAGAGAATGCCCTAGAAAATCCCCCAGAGTTTTATTTGACCAGCTTGATTTGACACTTCTCAGTGCAGTCATCAGTATCATTGGCCATTTTGGAGGTGCAGCAGTCACATGATCATGTGACATATGTCCTCAGAAGAAAGTCCATTACTAACTGCCACCTCAACCCCAGGTTCATTATTGTTATTTCTCCCTATTGCCGTTTTTAGTGTTCTTGTGCTCAAATTTACTTCAAAGACTTTTCCTTTATTGATGGCTTTTATAATTACCCTTCTTTCATTCACCACTTAGTATCAACTGGA